CAGGATATCTGCCAGGCTGCGCCCGTATCCCCAAAGATCTCCGCTAGCCTGCCCTTTTCCTAAAACAATTCTGCTAGCTTCACTGTTTCTTCAAGGATCTCTGCTAGCCTGCCGCGGCCTCTGTCAAGGGCCTACTGCTTTCCTCACAAATCTCCGCTAGTTCGCCCCAGCTTTTTTCAACGGTCTCATCTAGCCTGCCCTGCAATTCCTCAAAGAACTCTGCTAGTTGGCCCTTTTCCTCAAAGATCGCTGCTAGCCAGCCTCGCCAGACAACCCAGAAGTGAGTGCTCTATTTTCCCGGAAAAGCTTAGCCAAGTGTTCCTTTAGAGCTATACACCCGTCATGGTTTCCCCAATTATTTCTGGTGGCTTCTGGCAAGCCTGGGCAAAAACCCGGCTGTGAAAAGCCTAGTGGGATAGGGCGGGGGGGGTAAGTGGGGTCTCAATTTGCCCCCTAGGGCCACACTCTTATGCAAACAAACGATCAAAAAATGAGGGGCCGCGGGCCCTAATTGGAAAAAAGATGCATATGAGACTCCGGGAGAGCGTGAGGGTTATTTTACCGCCCCGCTATTTTCATATCAACGGGGATGTGGGGTTGGAGAAGCCTTAGGAGATGTAAAATGACGCAAAGAATCTCTGCTAGATTACCCGGCTTCTGGATTCCTCAAGGATCTTTGCTAGTGTTTGCCGGAACGCCACAATGATCTCTGCTAGCATGCCCTGGGATTCCACAAAGAGCACTGCTACCCGGCCCTTGGCTTTTTGCAAATTCTTTGCTCGTTTATGCCAGATTTCCTAAAGAATCCTTGCTAGCCTCCCTTTCCTGGTCCTCCTCAAGGACCCTGGCCAGCGTTCCCTGGGACTCCTAAACGATATCTGCCTGCATGCCCTGTACCTCCTCAATGGTCTCTGCTAGCCTACCTTAGGATTCCACAAGAATCACTACTACGGTGCCAGCCTCGTGGCTCCTCAAAAATGTTTGCTAGGATCCTTCGATCCTCCCCAGAAACCGCCAATTATCTTCCTCGCTCCGCAAAGGTTTCTGCTAGCATGCCGTCACCTTTCCCAAAAATATCTGCTATCCAACGACGAAGTCCCTAAAAATCTCTGCTGGCTAGCCCTCGACCTCCTCAATGATCTCTGCTAGCCTTCCCCAGGATTCTTCAATGATCACCGCTAGCTTGCCCAAATCTTCCCCAGGGATCTCGGCTATCCCGAGCCTCCCCTATATTTTACCCAATTTCCCTGCATTGGCGCGTGGGCCCGGATGGCCCGTGGCCATAGATCAGGCCAACTTGCCTGGGGTCTCCACGCAAAATTGGGTCCGTCATGTGGAGATTGGTCGTGTTTTTTGGGGTCTGTCGCTCTCTCTCTCGCTCTCTCTCTCTCCCTCTCTCTCTCGCTTCCCCCGTCGACATCCCTGATCTATTGGCCGACATCGAGGAGGACCACGGCCAGCCATTTTGTGAGGGGCACAGGTGCTCGCGTGTCCAGAGGATCGCCTCGGAATCCTGGCTCGCCGGATCGGGACCAATGCATTAATTCGGAGCGGCCAGCAGGTGCGGCATCCTTGGTTTTTACAGAAATTTATGGCCCGGTGGCGGCTGGAATTCAGGCTTGTGGAAAGAGCATTGAGGTCTAGGCTTTCAGGTTCCTTTAAAGAGGCCGGCAAGTCAGGACTATGGATTTTACCGGGCATGGATTCCACGCAGCGGCTGCGCCGGCCCTTCCAAGGCGTTCAAGCGGCGTACGCTTTGTGTTCCGCGACACGGAAAAATGCGTAACCTCGACTTCCTCCTCCCTATAAATATCTAACCTATTTGAAACAACCGCAGAAATGTCGCCACAACCCGTTTGGCAAAAAGCAAAAAATTTGGCACGGACGGGACTCAAACTCGGACCTTCTGCGTGGGAGGCAAGCGCACTACCAATTGGCCAAGGTGTATTTGGACCCGAACTGTGTTGTAACCCCCGTAGAAAGCCAAAAACCGGCTTCTGGTGCCCAATTTAAAATAGAACTAAGAACGTTTTTGACGGCGTTTTTCGCGTTTTTAGGCCTGCCACGCCTTTTTTACTCTAAAATGCAGCCGAAAAACGTGTCGTGCGCCGGCGCTAGTTTTTGGTGTGGGTGTGTGTCTGTTTGTCGCTTTCCATGTCTTTCTGTCTGTCTGTTTGTCTGTCCACTTGTCCATTTGTCGGGCCGGCGGCTTGGTATGCATGTTTTTCACAAAGAGGCGGGCAGGGGCTTGTGATTGACGCGGCTGTTCCGGGAACATGTAGGGGGAAAAGCAAGCCCGACACGACGACATGGCAAAGCAAATGAGGGACAAATTTTAGTGGAGAGAGAAAGCGAGAGAGAGAGCGAGAGAGCGAGAGAGAGAACCACATATTGCCAAATCATTTCTCCTTGAAAAACTTTATTCGCCAAAAAAATCGCCGCTTCGCGGGGGGTTGGTGTACTTGTTGAGGGCGATGGAGTCGTCGAGTAGCGATCGGGGAGTGGTGGTGCCGTTCTATTTTTTCTTGAAGATGTCGTCGTTGACGTTGGCGAGCGTCTGGTACTGCGGATCCTTCGCGTCCGCCTTGTTCACCTGGAAAGGAGCGTTAGAAAAGCCAAAATCTAAGCCTAAGCCTAAGCCAAGCCTATGCCAAAGCCCAAGCCTAAGCTTAAGCCCCACTAACCTTTCCAGGTGCCTTGAACTCCTTTTTGTCCTTCTTCGGCGGCACCTTGGCGAAGATGTTCGTGTCGAGGTGGGCCAGCGTCTGAAAAAAATCCCGATTTTTCAGGGAAAGCTACCCGCAACAAACTACAAAATACACCAAATTACGCGAAAGCCCCACCTCGTACTGCGGGTCCTTGGCGTCGGCCTTGTTGACCTTCTCGGGGGCCTTGAACTTCTTCTTCTCGGGCCCCTTGTTCGGGCCGAACACGTCGTTGTCCATGCCCATAAGCGTCTAAAGAAGCCCGATAGGCAAGAGTGTGCTCATCTACCGCATAGTTCGGGTCCTTGACGGGGGCCTTCTGCTCGACGTCTTCCGGCTTCTTGAACTTGTCCTCCTGCTTCTCCTTCTCCTTCTTCTCCTCCTCCTCCTTCTTCTCTTCCTCCTTCTTTTCCTCTTCCTTTTTCTCTTCTTCTTTCTTTTCCTTCTCTTTCTTCTCTTCCTGGAATTTGTTTAAAGGTAGAAAAATGGAAAAGCTGCTTACCTTTGACTTTTTCTCGCTCTTCTCCTTCTTCTCCTCCTCCTTCTTTTCCTCCTCTTTCTTCTCTTCCTCCTTCTTCTCCTCCTCCTCCTCCTTGGTCTTCTTCTTGGGCGTCTTCGGGGTGACGGGCGGTGCGGGCGGGAGAGGTTTCTTCGTGTAGACGAGCGTCTGCTTTGTGTATGGGGCTCCCATCTGAAAGTGAGGTTTGAATGTGGGTCAGGCCTAAACCTAAGCCTAAGCTTAAGCCCAAGCCCAAGCTTTAACCGACCTCTCCAAGCTTCTTCTCGCGCACCTCCACCTCAAACTCATTAAGATCCGGGTCGAACTTCAGCCGGTCGCCGGCCTAAAAACACTGCAAATCAACTCCAAACCCCAAAACCCACGATGCGTAGCGCAAAGTTGGAGATCTGGGTCGTCTGCGCGTAGCGGGCCACCTCTTCCGCTCTTTGAGAGATTGTTAGCAACCGGTCGAGCAGCTGAAATTTAGCTGTAAAAGTCGGCTTCATCCCCAATGGTCTCTGCTAGCCCTCCTCATCGGTCTCTGCCAGCCCTCCTCAATGGTCTCTGCTAGCCCTCCTCAATGGTCTCTGCTAGCCCTCCTCAATGGTCTCTGCTAGCCCTCCTCAATGGTCTCTGCTAGCCCTCCTCATCGGTCTCTGCCAGCCCTCCTCAATGGTCTCTGCTAGCCCTCCTCAATGGTCTCTGCTAGCCCTCCCCAATGGTCTCTGCTAGCTACCTGTCCCAGTGCACCATAGATGATCCAGAAGAAGCCGTGGACGAGCAGGGGAAGCAAGCAGTTCTCCAGTGCCGTCGCTGAACATTTGAAATCTTTGCATTAGAAATTAGCATTCGCACCGGCGACCGTTATCAGGTACATCATTTTCAAATCCATGGTGACAGTGGAAATTGGGGGGAATAGCCGATTAGAAATGAATGCAGTGGGGATGGGACCGCGGGGCTATGTTCTCGAAAGGCACGGTGATTTCCGGAAGTTGTCGGTATGCATGCAGAGATGGTATTCTAATTATTTTCAGATGGCATTCCGGGCCTTAACATTAAAACTATTTTTTCTTTTATCTCTTACACTTATTATATTTTAAAGTTTTCTAAAGAAATTTAAGAAAGAAGTATTTTAAGAAAAGCTGCTTTTTTCAGTTCTTTATTTTCGTTTCTTTGGTTCCGGAAAAAATGGTGCTTTCGCGTTAGCGGGGGGTAATTTTCCCTAAGAGTCCAGAAATGCCTAGCGATATACTAGGCGTTCTAATAAGGTTTTTAGCAAAATCTAGCTATACTTCAAGGCGAAAAACTATTTTAAAAACTTCAAAAAAATTGATGGAAATTTTGGTCGAAAATCTGCCAGTTTGGCTCGAAAAATCTATTTTTTTTCTGATTTTTCACGATAATTTGTAAAGCTTTCGCGTTTGAAAAATAGTAAAAGTATGATGTAACAATATTTCCTTTATTTGTCTTAAAAAACGTGATATCAAAGAAGAAAAAGTTTGTTTCCACGACGTCAATGCGAAAGACCGTACCTCCGTATCGCGGCATGATTTCTTTTGAGAATCACTTAATTAAAATTTGTTGATTAAACTTTATTAAATACATCATAATCTTTCCAAAAGTTCGGCGACTCCGTTGGCATCCTCTGGACGGGATGACGGAGCGGAATGGTGAGGCAGACGCAGTGAAGGCAGTGAAGTCGAGGCGGGCAAGCGCCTTATAGAGAAAAATTCGTTTTGTAATAGGGCATCGGCGGAACTTCTAAATTGACAGAATTTTTACATTAAAAACCCCTAAAAATTCCACCTAAGCGTCCCGCAGAGCCGCAACTGCATCTTGAGCACAGCGATAAACTGTGGAGACGCGCCGGGTACTGTAAAAGTTTGAGTTTATAAAAACGGTTCTGGTGCGTTAGCGGGGGACATCGGGCGAGGCCACGCCCACTCTCCGCCCGCTAGAGAACCAGAATCTCAAAACCCACCAATCGGTGACCAATTCTCCGTCTCATATCGCTCTTCAAATATTATTTTCTGGCTGTCCGGCATCTAAGGCTGTTTTATTTATTTAAGTTAAAAGCCTTTTTAGCAAAATTTAGCTATTTTTTAACAGGCAAAATTCATTAGGAAACTTTTAAGCTCAAAAATTCCTAAATTCGATCGGAGCAGTTTTGGTTCAAAATTCGCGATTTTTAGTTATAAATTTTGAAATTCGGATTATTTGACTTTTTAAAAAACAAACAATTTAGCAACCTTTGTCTATATTCGAAAAACTGGATCCTAGGGAAAAATCCTTCCCCCCGCTAATGCAAAAGCTCCAATAGCTTGAAATTGCACCCCACCGATCCCCAGCCGGGCCAATTCTCAGCCGTCGGCGTGCCGAGCAGCTCGAATATTTTGGCAATCTGGTCAAAATCGTTTCGACCCTGAAGTATATTTTTCCATGGAGTTAAAGAGCAACCTTCCTACCGTAAAAAGCGGGCATCGGTTCCAGAATTCGGCCAAAATGCACCCGGTAGCCCACAGATCGACGGCCGGCGTGTAGCGGCGAGTGCCAAAAAGTAATTCCGGGGCGCGATACCACCGCGTCGCCACCTAAAACACATATAAATATATTTAACATTTCTAAGTCTAAAAATACCATGCTAAACCTTAAAAAGTCTCCAAAAATTTTAATTTTTTGGTCAGAAAACTATGAAAAAGAGACTGTAATTGGCTAAAAACGTTTTAAAAGTGTTTAAAAAATGCTGTATAATGTTGTAATAAGCGGAAAATGCTTAAAATGTTATAAAATATTGTAGATTTTGGTACGATACTATTAATATAAAAGGTTTTCGCTTAATTGCCCTTCTAAAAAATTGCTCCACACTACGGAAACGCCAATAATTCCTAAAATTCACTGCAAGCCGGCTTAGCCTCCAATTACCTGTTCTTCATATTCCCGATCCGGCTGATCCGGAAAATACAGGCACGCCTGCCCGAAATCGGCAATTTTGACGATATTGGTGTGGCTGACGAGGATATTCTCGGGCTTCAGATCCTGAACAACTTATCTTTTCAAAATGGGAAATTTCGCGACAAACCCTATGCATAATGCCCAGCCGATGGAGGTATCGGACGCCCTTTAGCAGCTGTGAAAAGTAGAACCTTGCCGAGCACTCGGTATGTGGGCGTTCTGTGTCCATAATCGTTGCCTAAAGGAATAAAAATTAAGATTTTCGGTTCTAATCCTGTTTCTTATAAGGGCAGATATATCTATTAATGTAACAGTAAAGATTTTAATAGTGTTTTCAGCAAGTAAAGAATGAATGAAATCGCCCACTTTTAACGTTTTTGCCATAAATTCCATGACCATCGTGAGCGTGTCCTGGCTGCAGAAGATGTCCAGCAGCTTCACGATCTAAACCGGGTTACCGAGATTTTTATGGAACGAACATGGCGATGGTGGCAGTTTCTGAGCGTAGAAAATTCTCTCAAGATGTCGAGCCGCGATCGGGAACGCAGGTTCACCTTTTTCAGCGCCACAACCTCCGAAGTCTAAATCCGGATTAAAGGGCTGGAGAAAGATGGAATTGCTGAAAGAGCAAAGAGGGTCGCACCGGGCGGGGGTCGAACCAGGGATGGTCCGTCCCGCAGTCTTTGAATTTTTTTACCACCAAGCCTACCTGTACATTTCTGGCCTTCAAGACGACGCCGTACGAGCCCTGCCCAATTCGGCTGATGATCAGGTAGTTGTCCATGACATTTTACAATTTTTTGTAGTATTAAAGCTCCAGCAGATCGCCAAAAGTTTATTTGTCCCCGGCCCCTTCAGGTTGCCATGGTAATGGCGTCCGATTTTTCGGGGTAAATTATGCGGTTTTCGCCCAAAGGACCTCAAATTTTCGCTAAAATATCGTGGCGCAGCTTTTTATATCGTATTTACTTTATTTCTTCCTTTATTTTTAAATACTGGTTTGTTAAATTCGCAACTTTTAATATTAAGCTCGTTTCCGTAACACTACTACCGCCACATGGACGTACTGCGCCGTCAACAAGTGGACTCGCCGGATTTTTCTCTCTTCTAAAATTTCTAAAATTTGCTAAAACAATTTCTTTTCTAATAAAGTTTCTTAGAGGTTATTACATTTGCTTCAAAGATCCTTTCCAGGCGATGCTCCAAAATGTCTCCAGACTCGGCACCCCGATGAGATCGTATTTATGCAGCACGCGGCCCATGTCGAGTTCAATAAAGGTAGCTTTTCCTTATCTGACACATAAATCCTCATTACTAGGCATTGGCGAAACCGAAGCAATCTTTTGAAGAAGCTCTGCACCGTGGGCCCGATCAGCGGGATATTACGTATGAGAGTCATAGCTTTTTTTATCGAAACCTTTTAGGACAATGGATATCCTGGAAGAGCGCATTCGACGGACAGAGCAAGTGCGCGAAATTACCATCGGAGGACAGAAGCAAAAGTGGAATTATAGATCTGAGGTTTGGAAAAGGTTATTTGGGCTTTAAATTCTGTCTAGATGGTGAACAAACATGGGTTGGACAACGATCATCGCTATATTTGGATGGTCTATGCGGGGATCATCGTTTTTGGATTTGGTGCCTTCGTTTGGGTGAAGTCGAATGTCGTCAAGAATCGCCAGATCGAGATGCAGGCAGGTTTTTCGTGTTTGGTGGCCCTTTTTGTGTGCATTACGGGTAGTACATAGTGCATAAAATTACGGGATTTCAGAATAAAACGCAAAAATCTTTATTTCAGGAACGCGAAAAGATCCGTAGAAGTATGAACTTGATCGGCGAGGATCGAAAGAAGATTGGCGTGATCGAAGAGTGATGCCGGTGCCTGATTTTAGAATTCTAGATGTATTTATTAACATCAGTATTTGTGTGTTTTGTTTGAATGAATTGTATAGGTGCTGCAAGTCTGTTTATTGTACAAAACGATTAAGGAAAGCTGTTTATTATGAAATTCTCAAATACACTTGTAGTGGGAGACCCGTTGTGGTGGCTGTTCAATACATTTGACAAACGCGAAATTCAGAGAGCTGCCGAGAAGCTGGGCAGCGAACCCGTGGTGTTTTGTGCGTACTCGTTTTCCGAGTATATCTAAAGCGGAAAACTGAAAATTTCGGCGTTATTTCACCTCATTGACCATCGTTTCCGTCCTTGGTGTTTGTAGCGGAAGTCCTAATGCAGATCCGCGGCGCTAAAGTTTTTAGGCTTTCATGATTCCGTTTCGAGGTGGACTTACCCGTCCATGCACTGGGCATCTCTGCTGCATCAATGGCCGGCTACCCGCTAGTGTTGCCGCTTCATAACTGGGTGGCAGGCTTTCTACCGAAGCGGCCGTCTAAAAGAATACGAGTTTTTCACCCTGGGATCCGGTCTTGAATAAAAGCCTCGTGGCGGTTCTAACTTTTTTATATTCCTAATGGTAAAAGAAAGTGGTAAAAAGTCTATTTTTCGGCCAAATTGAGCAAAATTGCTAATGGTTACATACTTTTCATTTTTCTCGGTATTTTCTACTTGATCAAAAAAATAAAAAATGTTTCTTAAGCGGTACTATCGATCTTCTGGGAAAAAGTTCGGAAATGCCAAGGAGCATTGTTTCTTTCTGCTTTTTCATGAGCTTTTCCCAACCTACCCGTAAAAGATCGGCGTACGTCGGAAGGCTTTCCTTGCTGCCCATCGCATTACGTGCCAACCGCCTGCCCGGGTCCCTAGAGAATGCGGGCAATGCCTTCCAGGAAAACCCGGATGAATAATACCGGCAGCAGCCATGGTGTGGAGGTGGCGCCAGGCAGGGGAACGAGTTGGGAATGTTGGCGAATAGCGAGGAGAATTGTGAGGAATCCATCTGAATTAGAAAATTAATTTTTTCGCGGTTTCAGTACCGATGCCCTCCTCCGCCTGCGCTCCTTCCGCTTTTTGGCGATCATCTTGGCGCATTGCAGGAACAGATTGATCATCGTCCCTAAAAGGTCGGTCTAGGAACTTGTGTGTTTTTATAGTTTAGTTTTATAGCAAACTTTTGTATTTGTATAAGCTGAAAAACGAAAAAAATCTGCCTCCCCCACCTGCAACGACGACGCCCAACAACCAAATCACCGGAGCCCAGCGGAAAATGTCTTCGGCAGCTACCTGAAAAGTGGGTATAGAAATTTCGGTTCTTTCGCATTATCGGGGGGACAAACGTTTTTCTAAATTTCCAAGTTTCGAAACGTTTTTGAGCAGCCCCTTAACGTAAAAATACAAAAACGAGATTTTTGGCCAAAAATGGCCGATTTTCGATAAAATTTAAACTGAAACATGTTTTAAAGTTTTTTGTGATTGTTTTTCCACTTGAAATACGGCGAAATGTTGCTAAAAACATTTTCAAAACAATTACTGACTTACTATATGGACCTTACGGAACCCCCCCCCCCCCGATATTGCCAAAGCACCGAAATTTCATACAATAAAAATGAAATGAAAACTTTTCATGGCATGGCTGGGGCCCGGAAGTGAGCGCGCGCGTCTGGGATATCAATCTTCTGCCCGAAATGTGGGAGGGGCCAAAACAAAAAAGGGGCGTTATCCTGCTCAACGCCAAGCCAAAAGACGACGGGAAGAAGTAAGGGGCAAGAATCACGAAGTCGTTGCTTGTATCTACATGTAGTATTCTGGATTCCAGTAGCCTTTTTAGGGAACGCGAAGAGGGCCAAGAATAGGGGCTCATTTTGTCCGGATACGTCACCACGCCCCCTTAAAAAGGAGAAGAAGAAGAAGAAGTCAATCACGCTGCGGTTCAGCGCTGATGGCCGGCTTTTTAGCGGTGGTGGCGGGGGAGTGGGGAAATGTGGCCGTTCGCCTATTGGACCGTGGAGACCGAGGGCAAGTACATCTTTGTCTAGAAACATTACTTGAAGCCGCGCCATCAGCACCAGGATTCCGATCAGGAAAAAGACGGCGGCCAGCAGGATAAGCCGGCGCATTTCATCGTACGAGCGGTCGATTCGTAGCCGTAGTTCTCTGGAAAAGTGAGGGTTAGGTAAAATTGATAAAATAAAGCGGTTTTTTGCAATAGAAGGGCCCTAATTTGTTGCTATGCGTCCATTTAGTAAGCCTAGCTATGTAATAGAAGTTTTTTTAACAAAATAGCTATATTCCAAGCGGAAAAACGACTTGGGGACGTATAAAAATGCCGAAAATGTAAATTTTCGATCAAATTGTCAACCGTTGGTCGAAAAATCGGTGCTTTTGCAATATCAGCGGGGCCGAATTCCTTTCCTATAAGTCCAGAAAGGCCTAAAAACTAAATACACAATATTTTAATAGCGTTTTTAGTTACTAGAGCTAGAGGAATTCCAAATCAATCGAAAAATGGAAAGTTTTTATCGAAAAACCGTTATTTTTGTATTGTTTAATAAAATTTGTAGTTTTTACGTTTAGGAATAGTCAAATACCGTTTCAAACCAATTACTCGATTTAGTTTAGAAACTTTTATCGTAAGAAAAATAGAGCACGCCGTGAATCTCATGCCAGTTTTCATGCTCAACAAGCAAAATCCCTATTTTCACGTAATAAAAAGAATAATAATCTATAATATAACAAAATAACAATAAAACATACTGATAGTTCTCTTCGTGCTGATTGTAGATCGAATGTTCTTCATCGAGGTCGCGCATCGTTCGGTCGAACCCTGCAAAAAAGTAAATATTTGACGGGCAAGAGGATTATGGTAAAGCCAGGAAATTTGGGGGTAATTGATCAAATGAATGTGATGGGTGTTGCGTGCGGATTTTGATCACAGAAAACGGCTGGGGATGAGGGTTGGGTTGAGTGGCGGGTATACATGTTTGTCTCCGGAATCGAGCCACAAATTGAGTGCGCTTTAGGTTCGAGATTCTTTGGTACTGTACTGTTAGCGGAGGTGGGATTTCGGGGGAAATTTTTTTGTTTTCCTCTTTTACCTGCATCTTAATAATGTAAATTCTATTTTTATACTATTTTTTAGTTTTTGATCTTTGGAAAGCTCGAAAAAAATCGTAGAATTTTTGAAGTTGTTAAAATTTTACCCATTAATTGACTCAGGCAACGTTGTAAATGTTTTTTTTTGCTATTCCTAAATGGAAAAACTTCAAATTGTCCTAAAAATCCAAAAATCCCCATTTATCACCAGAAACGGCCGATTTTCGATGAAAATGTCGACTTTTTAAATGTTTAAAAACATTTTTGTATAGTTTTTTTATTTAAAATAAATTTAAGTTTTGTTAAAAAACTATTAAAATACTTGCTATTCGATCACTAGGCAATATCAACTATAATAATTTTCTTGACGCGTCTGTCTGTCCGTCCGTCCGTGTGAAGCCGAATTCAACTCGAAGGGGAAAGGAGCCAGAGCTTAGCTCTCTTCGGATTCGGATAGAGCGCCATCGGAAACCCCCAAACTGATAAAAAAATTATGAAAAACTTTTAGTTTAAATTATTAAAATTAACTTTGAAGGTGGCGCCTTAATAAAACGAGTGGCGGCCCCTCTCCCGGGAGGCCACGCCCCCTTCCCCTCGCCCCTCTTCGCCAGCCCCCCGCGCCCAGATAGCTTTTTTAAGTTACTTTACTACTTTTTAATACTTTTTAATTATGTTAATTAAATATTTAAATCATTTAAAGTATCTGAAGCCATCAGGAAGGTATTTAGGTAGTTTTTGAAGGGGATTTCAGCCATGGGGGGTATCTGAAGCCATCAGGAAGGTATTTAGGTAGTTTTTGAAGGGGATTTCAGCCATGGGGGGTATCTGAAGCCATCAGGAAGGTATTTAGGTAGTTTTTGAAGGGGATTTCAGCCATGGGGGGTATCTGAAGCCATCAGGAAGGTATTTAGGTAGTTTTTGAAGGGGATTTCAGCCATGGGGGGTATCTGAAGCCATCAGGAAGGTAGTTAGGTAGTTTTTGAACGGGATTTCGGCTATGGGGGGTATTGATGGAGGTAGGAAAGGATGTGGTGGAGTGGGACATGTAGGGTAGCCCGAAGGCCAGATGGTTGCAGTCGCGAAGCGACTGTAACCATCTGGTAAAGCTATAGGATAAAATTAAGTCCGCGATAAACCCCCTCCCACCCCCGATAATGCAAAAGAACGTCCAGTGGAGAAAAAGTATTCAATGACGCAAAAAATACGGCACGGAAAGGGTCTAAACACAAAAATGAGGTTTACCAGATAAGCGTTTAAAAGGAAAATAAATTGCAATAGCTTTTAAGCTCAAATTTAACCATTTAAAAACCTAAAAAAAGCAAGAGCACTACAAAGAAAAAATAACAGTTAGGAGATTGGCCCAATTTCCGGTGCAACAGCCCGTTTTTTCAAGCGAGAACCCCTGAAAACCGTGGGCCGGCGTGCTGGACTAGATTTGACCTCGACACTCGAGAGCACACCGATGTCGCCCCAAATGGGCCGAATCACCTGGCCGAGAGCGCGCAAACGCCCCCAACGGTAGATGATCATCATGCACAACATGGACGGGGGATTATCATAAGCCGGGCCCATGCTGGCGGTAGCCGGTTGTTGTCTGTCACGGCGGGACAAAAAAAAAGAGATCGAGAGAGGAGGAGCAGGAGAAGGAGGGGAGGAGGAGGACCACGTGGGTACCGAGTCAAGGGCAAACCATTTGGCATCCAGTGAATATTTGTTGAGAATGAGGATGAAATGGAGGAGGAGGAGCAGGAGAAAGAGGAGGATGAGCAGGAGAATGAGAAAGGGATAGGGGATGGGATGGCAAGTGAAAACGGAGAAACACACACCACCCACAACTCTTTGATCCCCTAAATTCGCAGCTTTAAAGGTACACTAACGTCT